AGAAAGACAGTCGAGACGATCTGAGAAGTCAGCGGACATTGAGACGACACGCACTCCTTCACTGAAAAAGGCTGTGATGTTTATATCACCTATTATTTAAATTACTCGTACTCTCGTGGTTGTCGCGTTAATGAGTAAGAATGCGTTTTCGTATTGAATTTGAAAAATTATACATATATATATATATATATATAGGCTGTCCCATTTGAACTTACCCAGTAGGATATCTCAAAACTTGGCAAGGTAATCGAAAAAAGTTACAAACGAAAATTGTATGGTTCGGAGAGGGTCAACTTATGATAACCTCAAACTTGACCAAGAACTTGATTTTCAAGGTCATTTCAAGGTCATCTTTGTTTTTTCAAATAGGAACTCTTATTTTTTATTCCGGATTTGGATACAGCGGGAAATTTTACGTTCAAATCATGTAATATATGTGTGTAATACATCTGACCCCACCCAAAGTCGTTTCGAGGTCAATCTTACTTTTTAAATGGGATCCCTCATTTTCCATCGCAGGATTCAATTGAACGTGAAATTGTACGTTCAAATAATGGGTTGCTTATAGGGTCCGGGAAAGCCCCCACCCCACTCCCAAAGTCATGAATTTAAACCTACGTAGAAAAATGAGGTTTCCCATTCAAAAAGTAAGGTTGACCTTCAAATGACTTCGACGGTGGAGTGGGGGGTTTCTTGGACCCTATAAATATCCCATCATCTGAATGTACAATTTCACGAAGTTTACAAACTTGTGACGAAAAATGAGGGGTCCCATTTAAAAAGTAGGGTTGACCTTAAAAGGACTTTAGGGTGGGGTGGGGGTCACATGGGCCCCACATATATTACATGATGTAAATGTAAAATTTCGCGCTCTATCCGAATCCGGGATAAAAAATGGAGGTTTCTATTTAAAAAAACAAAGTTGACCTTTAAATGACCTTGAAAATTAAGTTCAAGGTCAAGTTTGAGGTTATCATAAGTTGACCCCCTCCGAACCATACAACTTTCATTCGAAATATTTTTCGATTACCTTGCCAAGTTTTGAGATATCCTACTGGGCAAGTTAAAATGGGACACCCTGTATATATATGAGAGCTCGTATGTATAACTGCTTATTTATTGACAACAGTAATAACTAAGTTGTTATTAATGAAATGAATCCATACTCATGCTTCTCAGATAGTCATATTGAGTTCAGAGTATCCGCTTTATTATAATAATTAACATTTACAAAGTTATAAACAAATTAAGTTTGCACATTAAAATTCAATACTATTCAATAGTTAAAAGTACTTGAAAATTTTATATTCTTAAGCTATGCCCTAACATCCATATAATAATACTTTGCTTCGTTGAAATTACTCTTAATAACGCGTTTTAATTGAACAACAAAAATTATCATATTATATCTATAAGTTGAGTGACATCACGCTCCTTATATGGTCATGAAATTTGACTCTAGCATTAATACAATCTTATAATATGTAAGGTGACGCCATTTAATATCCTGATTACTATATATAGATTCATGAGTTTAGCGGGTTGTAGTAATCCAGTGAAAATAAGAGAAGAGCTCATAGATAAAACCGTTACAAGGCTGTGCAAAGCGAGTCCTAATCCGTTCACCGAGTCTGCATGAAGCAGACGCCACAATAAAGAAAGGCCGAAACTAAAGTATTTTGGCGAACACATACGATCCAACGGAGCTTCTCCCATTACTGTATCTCACACAATGTTTGTTGTGTAGAAGTTGTAGTTTAGAATAAGTTTCACGAGTTATTCTATTCTGATCGACTATTGATAAGTTTAGTATTCTATTTGAAAGATTGTGTACTTTTTTATTTATTAATCTATTCTCCTCCTCCCCTTCGATAGTTCATTGCGAAAGTGCCTCTTTAGCCTTTCCCATTGCTAAAATTAAGTAAGAAAGAGAGTTTTGTTTCAACTATAAGAATGTATCTTTAAACTAGAAGTTATACCAATCGAGTAGTTAACACTTTATGTTATTACGTCAGACAGGTATAAGATACCATTATTCAATTTTATTAGAAAAGATATACCTTTTTTCAATAATTTTCGATCGTGAAAGCTTTATGAGTATCTAGAACTGCCTGAAACATTTATCACTTGCTCCTTTACGGTTTTCTTTTTAAACTCTCTTCTAAACTTCTAAACTTTTAAGCAAACTCAATACTCTTGGTTCCTGTGGTTTGGCTCTTTTATAGCTGAGATCCTATCTGTGTGATCGTACCCAGAGATTTAACTCTAAATGTGGAAACAGGTGTGGTAGTGCCCCATAGGGTTCGGTGCCGGGATCTCTTTTATTTTATTTATACATCAATGACTTGAAAAACCCAGTAAAAGAACACGAAGTTTTTCATCTCTATTAGGCTGATAACTTGCAGATTTATCTGTATACACAATATAGAAATGACTTAGCGAGGGGAATAGTGAGACTGACTGAGATAGCTGGATAGGTGGTGCGCTGAGCTTATGACTGAGATGTACATCATGATGTTGGCCAAAGCAATAATTTTTGAGACCAGGATAGATACCAATTACATATATGCTGAGGAATTGCCTGGTGTTAAGATGAGAAATAGGACTTCTTTTGAGAAGATCACCATAGAGTCGTATTTAATTTCAAGCTAATTCCAGTATTACCTCGATTATTGCGTTGTGATATGTTTAGGAACCTTTGCAGAACAGAGAAAAAAGCTGCTAAGACTGAGTGATTCATGGTAATTTACATATGAGATACATTTTTAGTATTCCGCATGATCGATCGGTCTCTTTTTTTCAAAGAAGGATGGATTGGTTTCACTCGGATGTGCGCAGATATTACTTCATATCCCTGATTATGTCAACCTGCGAATAAATGGCCTGTTTATCTGATTGTGTTTTTCAATGAGCAAAAGTCAAGGTACCAGGGCAGAGCAGGATAAGCGGAGTTAAGGATTGCAGAGAAGATGATAGAGATATCTTACAAATCATTTCAGATAATTGGTTTTCATTTCTGGAATTATTTTCAATAGCTCTGAAGCATGTGCCGCTGTTAGACTGGTTAAAAAGCAGAGTGCGCGAATAATTTTGTGAGCTAAATACATAGTCTTTCAGATATGCTGCTGGAGGAAATTGTTTGACTTTAACATAATTGTTTTTTTAGTATATTGTGATTACATTAATAGATTTAAGCCAAATTTACACCAGTCTTACTATAATAGAAAGAGCTATGATTTTCCCTAATACGAGGGGGGGTCAATAAGTCTTTACAAAAAGAAGGAAAAAAAGTTTTGCGTATGTCATTTTTTTTTATCTTTCAACATAATCTCCTTAAAGGTCGATACATTTTATTAAACGGCTTTCCAGTTTTTTCAAGCCATCAGAAAGATATGATTTCTGAAAACCCTCAAAATAGGCATTTGTTTCGGCGATGATTTCTTCATTCGACGTGAATCGTTGTCCGGCAAGCCATTTTTTGAGGTTAAGAAATAAGAAAAAGTCACTGAGAGACAAATCAGGTGAATATGATGGATGGTCAATTAATTCGAACTATAAATCGTTAATTTTTGCTATCGAAACTGCACACGTGTGAACTCGAGCATTGTTTTGCAGAAAGAGGCATTTTTTTCTTCAAGTGAGGACTTTTTCTCTGATTTCTTCTTTCAGCTAACCTAATAATGACGCATAATATTATCCAGTGAGCATCTGGCCCTTTCCCAAGTAGTCGAAGTAGATGATTCCATACGCATCCCGGAAAACCGTGGCCATAATCTTGCCAGCTGACTTTACTGTCTTTGTCTTCTTTGGGGCTGGTTCTCTTGCGGTAATCCATTGTTTAGACTGTTCTTTGGTTTCAGGAGTGTAGTGGTATACCCATGTTTTCTCTACAGTTACGAGTCGACGCCAAAAGTCTTCCGGATTACAACGTATGCGTGCCAAAAGAGCCTCAGAGGTGACCACGCGGGTTCGTTTGTTTTCAACAGTGAGCAAACGCGGCACCCATCTTGCTGATATTTTTTTCATCACCAATTTTTCATGCAAAATTGAAATGATTGTACCCTTTGATACCCCTGTGGCCTCAACTAATTCTCGTAATTTTAATCTTCTATCACTCAACACCATATCGTGGATTTTGTTGACCATTTCGGGAGTACTCACTTTTACGGGGCGTCTTGAATGAGATTCATCTTTTGTTGTTGTACAGCCACGTTTAAATTCATTTACCCATTTATAAACAGTCTTAAACACAGGAGCACACTTGCCATGAACGGCGTTCGACTCAACTGTGATTTTTTTTGGTGTAAGCCCTTTCAAATAAAAATGTTTTATCACCGCTCGAAACTCTGTTTTTTCCATTTTTCAAATAAACCAATAACTTTTTGTTTAACCAACACTCACATAAAAACGACTTAATTAATCGAGCTAAAACTTTGTACAATATCTAGTTAGTAGTATTGCTTGCCAAAAACATCATAATTTAAGCGTGACGAGCGCCATCTCTTGGATTTTGTAAAGACTTTTTGACCTCCCCTCGTATCTTCATAAAATTCTACTTTAATTATTTATCTAGTCTATTTATAAACTAATATATGTATTATTGATGACTTTAAACTACTAACTGTGGATATCTCTGTATTTCTAATGATTATTTGTTATTCTTGATCAAAAAAAGATTATATTTTACTATAAATGTCTATTTGTACGTTGATTGTAAGATTTTACTGAAAAGTTAATAGAAAAGTATTAACCAATCAATCAATTTTTCTCTTACGTATCACCATCTTGCTCACATTGACGCTCCAAAGAAATGAAATGAATACGCTTGTTACAGTACAATTTCGTTAGTATTGTAAAGGTTTTTTGCAACAATTCAAATTTAAACTTGATTTGCTTAATATTTTTAAAACTAATTAAAATGATAGAAATGATAGAATAAAATTAAATATTCTGTATATTACAAAATATTAAGATTTTAATTATAATCAAATTGTACTTACGATGCATATAATAAAATAACTCTAGATTGAGCATTTTTCAATTCCAGTAACTGATTGTTGAAGTTTTTTACACCAGGTTCAAATTCTATTACATGTTCGACCTAGAAATTTGAAAGGTCGTTTTAATCAAATAAATTTAGTTTGAGATATTCAGAGTTTTAATTATTCAGAATTACTTTTGAAAATTTTATAACGTAATTATACGAAAAAATAATTTTATACTGTCTAGTTACGGAGAGTTTGAAAGTTGTAACGGAGAAATCCAGTCGTCCCTGTTCAGGTAGCTCGCGAGTGTCCGTACAAAGTTATTTTATTAAAGGAAGGGAATTCGGGAAGCAAAAAATGTTTCTACGACTGAATAATGCGTCGAGCGAATGCATTAATCGTACACGAATAAACTATTGCAGTATCAGGAGTAATTTCAGGTAACAATACCACAACAACTAACTTTGGTTTAATAACAATTTTAATAATATCAATGCAACATTTATTCTAAGTAAAGGAAAACAACGCCGCTATTACATAAAATTATTTGTACGAGACAAAGTCACTTATTCAACCTCCTAGCTGGCAAGAGTGCCTAGCTACGGAATGCTCACCCGGCACCTCGGACAGAGAGAGAGAGAGAGAGAGGGAGGGAGAGAGAGAGAGACAGACAGAGAGAGAAAGAGAAAAAACCACAAGACCGACGTTGCTCCGTGCTGTTGATGTGTTTTGTCGTCCTTCGGTTCTCCTCTCTTCAATGCTTCCTTTGTGTTATACTGTTGATTTAATTGTGACGTAGTTTTTCTTGTTAGTTATTATCCTCTGTTACTGCTACTTGTTAATTATTGTTGATGTTATTGTAGTTAGTGTTGTTGTTAATTCTTATGTGTATCTATTGCCCTGGTATGGGTATGTGTGTGTGTGTTGTAATATTAATTGCTGTTGTTGAGTGGGTGAATGTTCGTTAGTGTCGTGCTTCTTGTTTCGAGTGTACCGCTCACCACCAAGGAAAAATGGCCGCACGCGCGCACGAACCGCGTAACCTCACCGGTTATCCCACAAGGCACCGGTGCCAGCTTCGCTGCTCTCGCAGTTTTTCCACGTCTCGGACACACACTAACAATTATCTATTCCGCACACCGGGCACGTATCCTTGCACTTGTTCATGGCGAGGGCGCGGGAAACTTAGCCAACAACGAAACGAACAAAAAAAAGGAAACTTTTTTGTGCGCGCGGCGGTATGCTTCACAGCTCTGTCTCTACTGCCGATTTTTTCTTCTCTCTCTTTACAGCGAGATGCGCGCGCAGGTCTGTCAGCGGCTATTTCTCTCTCTTCTCTCTTCGATCTTCGGTCTCTTTCTCTCTCTCACTGTCGAATTCGTCGGCTTCCTCCAGTACGCCGCTGCCGCCGTCGCACCTCGAAAAAAACAAAGAAATTCAACCAGCGCACACTCTCAGCTTGGTAAGGCTCACGGGCATGGGTGAGAGCTTGACGGAGAGCAGCGGTCGGGCTGTAATTCTCGGTTACAAAGTAATATCTTGTAATTGTCTAGAATCACATCAATGACAAACTAAAGGATTTAAATGCATGCAACGACTACAGTTAAGCGGAAGAATAGTTATAGTTGTAAGCAATTAGCATTCCGTAGTCAAGACTTAGGCAGTTTTGGAGTGAAAAAACAGTTGTTAACCGAATTTGTGTGCAATAACGTTCCAGTACGGAATGCCAATAGTTCATGCCTTGGCTAAATTTAGAAACGTTGAAATCACTACAGCTCCGGAGTGGAAACGGGTTCGGTTTGGCGTTGACACAACGCATTAACAAATTCATAAGCAATATCGATGCAGTATACAGTCGTGTTGACTCACGATTTATAACCTTGTAAAAACTAAAAACTTCTTCATATAAATAATTATTTGTACTTACGAACCGTTTAATTTTATGCTATTTATAATAAAATTTTTCTATAAATGTAAATTTATGCCAACCAGAAAATTTATTTTTACCACTATAAAATTTTCTGTTTTAAAAATCGCATATTTTTCGCTTGGTTTTGATATCTTATAATATAAAATTTATTCGAAACTCCATAAAGACTTTTTAAAAATATTTTCATCTTAAGAAAATATTCAACATCTTTTTTGACTTATATTCTTAATATCCTAAAAGTCACAATAAATTTTATGAACTTATGTATAGCTTATTAACTGCGAATTAATTAAATTCAAATGAACCATCTCTGACTAATTAAATAGTATTAGAGATCTATAAATTGTAACCATGAACGTTATATTTGCGCACATGTCTTATTGGTGGGACTACCCGGGGAGGTAGCACCTACCGACTATCAAAGGAGGGCACGCATCGCATACAGGGGGAGAGAGATACGCAAGAGTCGTGCAGAGACTATACTCATACACGCATGGTTTTTTTGAAGTTCCTGACTCTCGAGCTTCGACGTTGTACGAACGCGGAGGCTACAGTGTTCGTTTCCTTTCTAAAAGAAAGAAAGTCATCCTTAGCGAGCATCAGAATATACGAGAAGTTGAGCATAACCTCCTTATAGGAATTAGTATACCGGTTACCACAGGGAGGATAGGAGTAGCCTTCTTCCCTCATTGAGGAGACATGATCGCGATCCATCGTTGTGTTACGCCTGTAATATAAGGTATAATTCGAGATGGATCGCAGGCCGACCTCATGCGAGCTCGGAAATCGCGACAACATAATTGTGCGCGAATTATAGCTCATCCATAGGCGAACGATCGATGCGTCCATGTGTCAGCGAATAAGATGGCGGCGTCCGCATTTGTCACGTGCTAGTAATTATCATTACTACAGGCCCCAATTTGTAACTGAACCATTGACTAATAAAGAATACCGTCGTGATAACTAAGAACGACTTATCTTAATCAATGACCCTCTAGAAGTGCCTATTCCTATACGAGGTCTGTTCAAAAAGTATCGCGAATTTTCAATTTCCGCTGGCTACGTAAAGTTCATTTTTTATTTTTTGTAGCGTTATGTTGGTACTTATGTCCCTTAATTTTTGACAGCTTTTTTTCTTGGATGTTTCGGCTCGTCTTTGAGTGTTGTCTATTCTAAAGAATGGATCAAAGAATCTGTATCAAATTTTGTGTGAAAAACAAAATAAAGTACGCGCACGCATTCCGACTATTGACTGTGGCATATGGAGAAGCTACCTTTAACCAAAGCAACGTTTACCGGTGGTACAAAATGTTCTCAGATGGCCGAGAAGATGTGAACGACGAACAACGTGCCGGACGCCCGAGCACGTCAACAGACAAAAACATTGATAAAGTGAAGAAAATAGTATTGGCCAATCGTCGAATCACTGTTAGAGAAGTTTCTAAGGATCTAAACATATCTAGTGGCTCATGCCATTCAATTTTAACCAATGATTTTGGCATGAGTCGGGTCGCCGCGAATCCGTGCCAAAACTGCTCAATTTCGACCAAAAACAACATCGCGTTAACAGTACTCAGGAGATGTAGGACTCGGTCCATGACGACCCAAATGTGCTCCAGAGGATCATAACTGATGATGAATCATGGGTTTATGATTATGATGCGAAAAACAAAGCTCAATCATCCCAATGAAAGCTGCCGCATGAGCCAAGACCGAAAAAAGCTCGCCAAATTCGGTCGAACGTAATGGTTTTGCTCACAGTTTTCTTCAATTACAGGGGCGTGGTGTATCATGAGTTCTTGCCATAGGGTAGTACAGTCAATATGGAATATAACCTGCAAGTTATGCGCAATTTGCGCGAACCAATTCTCCAAAAACGTGCGGATTTGTGGAAGAACTAAAACAGGCTTTTGCACCATGATAACGCCCCTGCTCACACATCGTTGCTTGTGCGCGAGTATTTGGCCAAAAACAACACAGTAATGGAGCCGCAGCCACCGTATTCCCCAGACTTGGCCCTCTGTGACTTTTTCCTATTGCCAAAATTGAAGAGGCCCATGAAAGGATGACGCTACGAAACGATTGAGGAGATAAAAATGGCATCGAAGGAGGAGCCGAACAAGATCACAAAAAATGAATTTTTTAAGTGCTTCGAGGATTGGAAAAAACATTAGCACAAGTGCATTGTATCCGAGGGGGATTACTTTGAAGGAAATAAAACAGATATTCATGAATAAATAAATAATTTAAAAAAAAATACAAAATTCGCGATACTTTTTGATTACACCTCGTACTAGCATATTCATTTCTATCATACGCCTTCTTACTTACGCGTCTCTTTTCAGCTAGCAGAATTTAGCAATATTTCCAAGCGAGGTTGGAGCTGCCCGGTAAAAGTAACCGCAGCAGTTAACGGGGACTTCACCCAGAAATAAGGGCATACGCCTAAGGTAAGGTCTTGGAGCAAGGTTCGGCGCAAAAGAAGCGCATGTAGTTGCCGCGGTAAATGCACAGAGCGCCGCTGAAGTGAAGCCATTGCGCACGATGCGGCGATACTCACGCAGCGCGTGCTGATTTGTAGGTAAGTACAAGAAGAAACTTGCCCGCAAATCTTCGCACCGCGTAGCCCACCATACATCTTACCCCGTTACAAAATATATGTCGATTTCTATAAAAAATCAACTGTTAAGAGTTAAAAAAATACAATTTTTTATTTGGAGGTACAGTTTATACAAATCAAAGGGATGTGTTTTAAGAACCTCTTGGAAATGTTTTCTGTCCGTGAACACTGAATTTTGAAAAACTCATTTTTGTAATGGGCTACAAAATAATGTTTTGTATTTTCTCTATATAGATTAATAATATAAATCTACAAATCGATACCTATAAATCTACAAAGAACTACTCGACAAAATGCAGCATATAGATGTATATATAAAAAAGTATGAAGCTCTCTCTATTATACTCTAATATTATTGGCATTGTCAACAGGTATCCTCCATTAAGATAGTGAAAAAGACACCCGAAATGACTCTTGAAACTAAGTTTTCAGTAGCATTCTACATCGAAAAAGATTAGGTTTGCTGCCAACCAGACCTTCCTAGAGCTTCCCTATGTATACACTGCCCGTCAGTCACTTTTACCCCGCCTCGAGCAAAATTGCTTGAACTTGGAAATTTCATATTT